GTTTCAATAGTATCTCTAAAACATATTACTATTAGGTGTTAAAAAACTAAAAATATAATGGAGAAGGAATGTACCTGTAGATCCCTCTCAACAATTCCACTTTCGCAGAGCACTAAGCGAAATGAATTAAAGAGATATATATTAAATAAATAAATCAATCAACAAAGTCATGGGTATTTTTAGAGAAATGCTAGACTCACATTTTTTTAATCTATAAATTCACTTATAAAGATATGATAAGGGGATAGATAATAATAATAATAATATCACATCATTATGAATTGAATTGTAAGAATTTTTTTTATAATCTCAAATATTTTCCAAATTTTTATTTGCAAAAATTATGAAAAATAATTTTTAAAGGGCAAAATAGTTGTATCATTATCTATCAAACTGACATCAAGGTCAAACTGTTGCGGTGGAATTGTTATCCAATTATTAAATTTATGGAAATAATGCATAATAATATCAAAATTATAAAATTAATTATATTTCTCTCTTTAGTCAATAAAGTCAATCTTTGGACCTTATATACATTGACCATTTCCATCAAATAAGTAAAAAAATAATATAATATGGGTTGAGTTTAATTTGAATTTGATCCTTATATTTAGGTACATGGGTCCATGATCTCGTTTTAATAATTTAAATAATTAATTTTGTAAGGCTCTTTGTATGTATTATTCGTAAAAAATTAGATAACAATAGCCATTTCATTTTATCAAGTCCGTCTGTTTTTTTTTTTTTAAAAAAAAAAAAAATAGATGAACTATTTTTAAAAACATATTTGTCGTTATTTTTTTAGAGATAAAATTAAACAATTATGATTATTAGATTGGTGTAATTTTTTTCATGAATGATATATGCAAAAAATCTTACAAAATGAACAATTAAAATTATTAAAATAGAATCTATAATAGACCTCATGAGTTTGAACATGACCTCATCAGCATGCAATGTTTAGAAGCCTTGGATTCAACAAAAAATCCTCACCAAAAGAAGTCAGCCATTGAGTGGGGATGCCATCATCTTCTTCTATCATTTGATAAAGTATGGCAACTGATCTATCAGTCGATAGTGAAGAGCTTGGGAGATCCTCGGCAGGTCCTCTGTTTGGTAATAGGTTTAGATCCATATTTGTCTATGCTTTGAAAACATGATCAGAACACAAATGATCCGTTCTTAGAATAAACTTAATCCATTAATCGATTTCATATCTACAATTGCTAATGCATCTTTTTTTATTAGCTTTTAGGAATAGTCCTTTTTTTATCCTTCTTGGAATGATCATTTTGTTATGATGATCAATGATAATTCTATTTATAACGTAATTTTTTAATTTTTTTTTATAAGCCAAACGTGAAAATAAACATTATGATAGAATAATAATTTTTTATTCTATAAACCAATTAATAAAAAAAGCAGCCAATTAAATTTAAAAAATTAGATATTTTCTATAGATCATGTGTGGACTATACAGTCTAGTTGGGTTTTTAATGATCTAATCCGTTCCTTTTGCAAGTCTCTATATGTAGATTATATATGGGGGGAAAAAATTATATTGACTCAATAAATGAAGTCATATTTTTCTTTAAAAAAAAAAAAACCTGTAAGGATGATTTTTAAAAGAGATCATCTATTTTTTTAAAGGAAAAATGCAACAAAATTATATAACTACAATTATTGGATCAATATGATTTTTTTTTTATTATTGTAAATGATTTACACAAAGAAAATTATGAAATGAATAGATTAGATTATCAAAGTAAGATTGTGCTGAGCCCAACAATACTGTCCAGTTTACAAGCCTTATTTAATTAAAAATAGTGGTGTTAAATTAACTTAGTTACTAATTAAAAATAGTGATATTAAATTAACTTACTTAAACTCAATTTATATTTAGCTTGTCAAAAATTTGTTCGAGATCGACTCTATAAACAAGCCAATTTTGAATATATTTTGAATTTTGTTAAGTTTTAACTAAATTTAAACAATTCGTTATTGGAAAATGCCCCAGATCCCTTTTCTCTCCCACCCCCAACCCCCCATGGGTAGGGGTGTAATTTTGGCCAGTGGCCCGCGGGAGTCCCGAATCCCACTTGCGGCCCGAGGTAGGCCCGACCCGTTAAGGCCCGAGCCCAAGCCCAGCCCGATGCCTTGGGCCAGGGCCTGAGCCATCGTTTTGAAGCCCGGTCTGGCCCATGGGCCTGACCCTGCTTGGCCCGCCCTGTGACCCGACCTGTGACCCGACCCATTGGCCCGCTTAAGGCCTGCCCAAAAGCCCGGCCCGCCCAATGCCAGTGTTATTTTTAATTGAAAATAATAAATTTTTGGTGAAAAAAAAAAAATTTGTTTAGGCTCGCCCAAAGTCCGAGCCCAGGCCAAAGCCCAAGGGCCCGGCCCGAGGCCCGGCCCACTGGCCCGCCCAAAGTTCGAATACCCCTGAACCTGGGCTAAGGCCTGGGCCTAGTTTTCTGACCCGTGATCCGGCCCGACCCGATTTTTTTGACGGGAGCCTGTAAGGCCCGGCATGGGTCGGGGCCAAAATTACACCCTACCCACGGGGGGTTGGTGATTGAAAAAAAAAAGAAGAAGAAGGGGTGACCAATGAAAAAACAGTCGGGTCGTGGGGGACCCCCAGTGGGGGTTTCCATCATCGCCGTTCATTACTCAACTTGATTTTACTCAGCTCGTGTACAACACAATTTCCAAAACATAAGCCAAAAAGGGTTATCCAAATGAGTGAAAAGATATATATATTTTAGATGGGTTACAAACTCAAAGTTGATTAAAAAATTTCATCCAAACCGAAACTAGAAAATGAACCAAAAAGGATTTGCTTGATAGAGAGACTTGATGAAACTCAAAATGCTAAATAAGGCCGGTGTGATAGCTGGGAAGGGAACTCCCAAGTAATTTATATAAATTTTCAATTGTGTGGTTATTTTTGTGGGGGCTTTTCCCAAACTAAGCCTCTTTTGCATCCTATTTCCCAAACTAGGCCTAGTTTGGACGGATTTCCCAAACTAGGCTAAAGCGCTATTACAAATCGTGCTTTTACTGTTTGGAGCCTAAAATTTGATGAATAGTGAAAGCGCTATTCGAAATCGCGATTTTAATTAAGAAAATGCTATTTGAAATCACGCTTTTAACATAAATTTTTTTCTTCAAAAAAACGTGGTTACAAATTTTTTTTTTTCCAAAAACCACGATTACAAATCGTGCTTATACTATTCAAATGCAAAATCGCGTTTCCAAATGGCGTTTTCAAATCACACCAAACCAACCCACACACTCTGACACACACCCCCCACAGCACTCACGCACACTTTGACACACACACCCCCCATCACACAATATAATTGAAAAATATAATTTATATATATATAATAATAATTAAATATATATAATAATAATTTATAATAGTAAATAATAATCAACTATATAATTTTTGTAAATATAAATTATTTTTATATAATTTTTATCTTTTGAGTGGTTAGAAATAATTTTTTACAAATTAAATTGAAATAACCCTACGTATGTATATAACCTGCCCAAAAATTAAAATGATAATTATTTTTTACCCTTAAATGATAATTATTTTTTATTTTTTATTTCTTAACCAAATTAATTTTTAATTTTTTAAAAAAATTCTAAAAATCAAACCATACATAACCTAAAAATCTTTTGATAAATGACTTACATTCGTATGATTTAAGGGTAAAAATTTTGATAAATGACTTAAATGATAAATCAAACTATCCATAACCTAAAAATTTTTACCCTTAAACCATACGTATGTAAAGGTAAAAATTTGCTATTATAAATTACAAATTATTTTTTATTATAAAAATTACATACGTATGGTTCATATGACTTGATTATAGATGGTTTGATTTATCATTTAAGTCATTTATCAAAATCTTTACCCTAAAATTTTTTACCATTACACACATATGGTTTAAATAATTTATAAAAATTATTACCATACGTTTATAAAAATTGATTATAATCTTTATAAATAATTTATAAAGATTTAAATAATTTATAAAAATCTTTTGATAAATAATTTTTATAATCAAGTCATATGAACCATACGTATGTAATTTTTATAATAAAAAATAATTTGTAATTTATAACAGCAAATTTTTACCCTTATATACGTATGGTTTAAGAGTAAAATTTTTTAGGTTATGGATGATTTGATTTATCATTTAAGTCATTTATCAAAAATTTTACCCTTAAATCATACGTATGTAAGTCATTTATCAAAAGATTTTTAAGTTATGTATGGTTAGATTTTTAAGTTATGTATGGTTTGATTTTTAGAATTTTTTTAAAAAAATTAAAAATTAATTTGGTTAAGAAATAAAAAATAAAAAATAATTATCATTTAAGGGTAAAAAATAATTATCATTTTAATTTTTGGACAGGTTATATACATACGTAGGGTTATTTTAATTTAAGTTGTAAAAAATTATTTCTAACCACTCAAAAGATAAAAATTATATAAAAATAATTTATAATTACAAAAATTATATAGTTGATTATTATTTACTATTATAAATTATTATTCTATATAAAAATTATATTTTTCAATTATATTGTGTGATGGGGGGTGTGTGTGTCAAAGTGTGCGTGAGTGCTGTGTGGAGGGGGGAGGGGGTGTGTGTGTCAGAGTGTGTGCGGTGGTTTGGTGTGATTTGAAAACGCCATTTGGAAACGCGAAGTAGAAGCGCGATTTGTAATCACGTTTTTTGGAAAAAAAAAAAAAATTGTAACTACGTTTTTTTCAGAAAAAAAATTTATGTTAAAAGCGCGATTTCAAATAGCTTTTTCTTAATTAAAATCGCGATTTAGAATAGCACTTTCACTATTCATCAAATTTTGGACTCCAAACAGTGAAAGCGCGATTTGTAATAGCGCTTTAGCCTAATTTGAGAAATCCGTCCAAACTAGGCTTAGTTTGAGAAATAAGATGCAAAAGAGGCTTAGTCCCCTATTTTTGTGTGATTCCCATCGTGAAATTACTCTTAATCTTTCTTCGAAAGTAGTTGGATTGATCCACAACTGTGTAAGGTTGATTTTGTGTGATCACATTTTGTGTTCTAAACCTTTTCTTCAAATGTTACGATATTGATCAATATTGTGTGTTCTGTTACTTCCTTGCAAGCCACCAAAATAGTTTAAATTTTCAAAGTAAAATTGTTGGTGGATCTTATGTGTTTCCAGCAAGCTGTGCATCACCTCTTGCCACCTGTGTTGCTGCAGCTTTTCAGCCAAGCTTGTTACACAAGTTCTGGAATCTTAAGAGGTGTAGAGTGTTTCATTGCGTTTGTGCAAATTAATCTGCGTTTTGTCAGCGAAACAGAAGAGGTATGACAATTCTTCAATTTCTGTTTTCCAGTGTTTGCTTCATTGAACATTTTTTTTTAGATATCTGTTTATGAGGTTGGTTAGTGCCTATATCTATTCTATTATTAAAAGCCAACACCAATTTTGGTGTCATGAAGCCATCCCTAAAAAACTTTTCTCAAATTTTCCTAAAATGACCTTAACTTTTTACACTTACATCAATTTTAATTAGGGGTAAAATGATAAATTCAAACACCAATTCCACCTCCCACTTCCCACTCTCCACGTCTGAAGCAGTTACAACATCTTCCTTCAATTGCATTTTGCATCTTCCTTGGTATGTTCTCTGCTGAAAGTTCACCCGTCTCCCAATGCTGAAAGTTCACCCGTCTCCCAATCAGCCCAAGAATCAGCCTTATCCTCCTCACCATCTTCTGTGAATATCGCATCTTCTGTGAATATCGTGATCTCTGCAGTGTTCCTCTGCCTCACTTCCTCTCCCCAACACCAGCACACCTCCACCACCACTGCCGCAACAACAACAACAACCACCCACATTATCTTCCCTTTTTAATTTGGTAAGCATTTCTATATCCAAACCTGATAGTAGAATGGTTTTGTTTGGAAGGTTTTGTTTGGATCACAATTAAAGATTCAAATCCTTCCCCTGCACCCTCTCTGTTTTTCTTTGTTCAGTTCACTGTCATCCACTCAAAACACTTCACCTTCATTGAGTAGGCATTTTAATATGACAATATTTTAAAGAATCATTATTTCAAACCAAACTTACTAGAAATGTATGGGTGTGAATGTATATATTTGTCTGTTAGTTTGATTTTTGATGAAGAATCATTATTTCATATTTTTTCAGGTTGATATTTTTTCAATTCATGTTGGGTGTGAATATATATATATATATATATATATATCTGTCTGTTGATATTTTTTTTTCCCAATTTTCAGTTCACGTTGGTGTGTTAAAATTTTCTGATATTTATTTATGATTGGTATTTGATAAGTGATTGTGCATTGTTGATTTTTCCCCATTTGTTCAGTTCACTGTCATCCACTCAAAACACTTCACCTTCATTGAGTAGGCATTTTAATATGACAATATTTTAAAGAATCATTATTTCAAACCAAACTTACTAGAAATGTATGGGTGTGAATGTATATATTTGTCTGTTAGTTTGATTTTTGATGAAGAATCATTATTTCATATTTTTTCAGGTTGATATTTTTTCAGTTCATGTTGGGTGTGAATATATATATATTTGTCTGTTGATATTTTTTTTCCCAATTTTCAGTTCATGCTGGTGTGTTAAAATTTTCTGAAATTTATTTATGATTGGAATTTGATAAGTGATTGTGCATTGTTGATTTTTCCCCATTTGTTCAGTTCACTGTCATCCACTCAAAACACTTCACCTTCATTGAGTAGGCATTTTAATATGACAATATTTTAAAGAATCATTATTTCAAACCAAACTTACTAGAAATGTATGGGTGTGAATGTATATATTTGTCTGTTAGTTTGATTTTTGATGAAAAATCATTATTTCGGAGGAGATTGCGGAGGAAGGCAGCGAAGGAGATTGGCATGACGGCAGAGGAGGGTGGTGGAGAAGTGGCGCTGTGAGATCGGCGGTGGAGGAGCGGCGGAGGAGGGGCGCTGTCAGATCGGGGCGAATTAGCTGCTATATTGGTTGGTCATAACACTAACTGTTCAGTTCTGCCCCTTTCTTATGCTAGGCAAGCCTATGGTAGTAACTTTTCGGGCCTACTCCAAGGATCAGATCATCTTGATTCTTCAGCAGAGGCTAATGGTAATTTTTGTGCTCTTTCTATAAACAAGTGTCCTGTTTAGTCATGCAATAGCTTTTTGTTATTTCAGACTGGATGCTAAAAAGATCAAGTGCTAAACCCTAAGAAAAAGAAAATCACTTTGGCTGTAGCTGTTCTCTGTATGGTTTCACATTTGAATGTATATATGCATTGAAAATTTTGATTTAACATGTTTTATTCATTTCCAGTCAAGTTGGCCAGAGATCATGTTTCCCCCCTAGAAAAAGAATAAGGTTTGAAAATTAAGGTTTGAAGATACGAGAAATTAGTATACACATTTGGCAGTCAATTACAAGTTGGTAATTGAAGAAGTTGCAGCTCGATGTTTTCAGTGTTTTCACTAGGAATGCAGTGTCGTTATCATGACTTTTCATCACTGAATGCTACCACATCTTAGATTTAACAGCTTAATGTACCATAATTTTCAAGGAACCCTAGAAAAAATTTGAAAAAAGAATGAAGTAGTTCTTTTGAAATCTTTTATGTGTAAGAGAATTTATCTTTAGTCGCTCATTTATTTGTTATTGACTAAAGACTGACTGCTATTCTCTTCCAACAGGCACTTCCTTACACTGTCTTTCAACCACAAGCCTTAGAACTATGTGCCAGAGTGAGTCACCCTTCTTTTTTCTTTTTTCCCTGCTGTATTCTGGTAAATCATGCTCACTTTTCTTTACTTGACACATTGCCTTTAATTTGGTGGTGCATCCAAATTTGTAATATTACTTGAATGATAATTAGTGTATGAGCAATTATGTTCTCTTGACATTTTTTATTGATAAATAAAATAAATTTTATGTTCTCTTGACATTAAGAATTCATCCTCACCTTTATATAAATTGTAAGTCAGCAGTGGAACTGTGGCACCAAACACCATATGGAAAATTCTCTCTCATAAGTAAAGAAACTGATATTCTTTTGAAACATGGCAGAAAGTTGCGGCTGCATCTGGAGATATGAGGAAAGCTCTGTGCATCTGCAGGTTTGTCTTTTACTGCAATAGTTATGGTACTTAGTTTGTTGAATTTATTCAGGGGGTTCAAAACTAGATTGGTGCAAACTGTGCTGAGAAATAATTATTCAAAGACAATTAGATTGGTGCAAGCTGCAAACTGTGCTTAAGTAATTATTCAGGGAGATGGGCTATATGATTAAAATAGTATAAAAAAAATTAACATTCATAGAATTTTTTGAACTCAAAGATGTTAAACCTTAAAATTATACTATATATATATATATATATGAGGAACGGTGTAGTAAGAATATTTTTGGATGTCAAAGGCCAACATCAGCCGTCACTCTGTCGCAAGTACAAAATATCAATAAAAAAAGGATTTAATTGCAAACCTCAAAAGTATTGATGTATCAATGGATTTCATTGATGGAACTACATTATACTTTGGAATTTAAGAAAAATGCAAAAGCATTGTGAAACTATCAATGAAACGGATAAATTGAAGTCTTGAAAGTTATGTGTATATTGCTGATATTTAATTTGATGTTCATTCACATATGACCATACAACTAGATCACTCTGAATTACTTCTCTCTCTGTCTCTCTCTCTCTGTTTGCTGGAAATTAATGGAGTTTGGGAAGGGGGAGGATCTAAACTGATACAGGATATGGTAGTAAAAAATATATGAATTTCTTAATTTAATTGAGCATATAGCCCTTGAATAAATAAATAAAAATTACCAATTAAACTTGACGAGTTAAAAAATCCACATATGGCGGGAAACGCACTTGATACGTTTACAATTTTCCCGCTAAAATTCACACTTCTTTGCTCTGCACACAATGTATATTAGATATTCGCATCCCCCAATCCATGCATAGATTGTATATCTATTCTCTCACACAGATTTGCAGATCCACAAGAGCTTGGTCGATTTTGATATCGCAATCATGCCGACCATCGCCGGACATGGATCATCTCCGTTTGCCGCCGCCGACGAACTCATAGCCATCAAAGCTCGAAGATCCGGCGAGATCCGATCCACCGGCGACTCCACTCCCCGAAAACGAACATTGAGAAGCAATTCGGCCGCAGAAGACTGCTCGATCGCTTCGACTCCATCTCCGAAGCTTTGTTATCCGACGAAATGGAAATCTCCTCGCCGATGTATCAGTGGCAGCCCCAATGGCCCTTCAAAGGTGAGTCCAGTGCTTTAATTTCATCAAACTTTTCTTTCATTCTCTGTTAATACCGCACAATTGATGATGATAATTGTGGATTGAATTTAGGTGTTTTTGCAGGGAACTGAATTAGAATCAAAATCTCGCGAATTGTTGGTGAAAAAATTGTCTGAAAGTTTTATTGACAAACCGAAATGGAATCCGAGAGGCAAGTTTAATTTGAGTTATTATTCATTTAATTGCAACTAAAAGTGATATAAACTTTCGAACAAAAATGAATTGGTTAATAATATATATCTGAACAACTGCTTTTTGTTCTGAAGATTATGTATGGACATTTGACTTTTGTTTGAAAGTTTATATCTGAACGGTATAAGTAGTGTGTACTGATATTTTTTATGGCGTGCAAACGAAAATTTCCAATCACGTATGTTTGTTGATTTGATCTGTTCTAAAATGTTAATTAAGTGATGTATGTATAGATTTGCAGCAAATGAGTGTGGTAAAAGAGGCATTGCACGTATCAAGTATGCCCTCTATGGTTGTTTGCCGAGAAAATGAGCAGAAAACGGTTTTGGAGTTCTGCAAGCAATGCATAGAACAAGAGAAGGCCGGGAGTTTGTATGTGTGTGGATGTCCAGGGACCGGAAAATCACTGTCTATGGAAAGAGTCAACGAGTCTCTGCTTGATTGGGCAAAGGGGGTAAGCTGATTGCCCTTCATTGATGGTTCTAAAATTGGGGTTTGTCTGTTGATTAGTTCCATCAAATAGATTAGAAAGAGTTCTATCATTCATTGATTGCACGCAATGTTATAATTTTCAACCAATTAGTGTATAACTCCGGTGTTGGTGTGGTTTAAAATGTTAATCTTGCTGATCTGCAAAATAATTATTACTTTCATATTTGGCTAAGCATGAGCATATTGCATTTAGTTTAGGATAATTGGCATAGTATGACCTATACATAGCATTGTGTGCTTGGTAGTTGAAAATTGTTCCAACTTGACTATGTGGGCAAGACCGGTGTGCCCTGCTTGAAATCATCTTGAATCACGCTCAAGCAGGGTACTAGTGGGCTTGAAGTGCACTTAAGCAGTGCTGTCCTTTTTGTGCATAAGAATTCCCGAATTGGGAGCTCGAAGCCTGTTGAGCATGCTGACAAAAGTTTGAATTGGAACTTGACTTGGAACATCCGGCTAATGCCAATGACAGGACCTTTGGAATTGGTAGTAAGAAGTAGCATTATATAATAGTTGACCCTTTAATGACCCATACCTACGCATTACATGCATGTCCCAAGTTTAGCAGATCTAAACATGCATGTACATTTCTTTTAGTCTGTAATATGTAACTTTCATAATTCTTGCACTAATTGAATCATAATTCTTGCTGTCAGGCAGGTTTTCAGCCACCTGATGTATTAGCCATAAACTGTACTTCTCTTACAAACACATCTGAAATATTCAGCAAGGTAAACCAATAGCAGTATTCCTTTTAATAACTGAACACCACAACATAACATATGCTTACATTCCATTAGCTATGGCAGATTCTTGGCAAAAACCAACTGCAAAAGAAAACCAACAGTGCAACTTCAGCTTTACAGCATCTTCAGAGCTTGTATTCTCAAAAGCAGCAATCAACTGGCATGAAAATGACGTAAGAAGTATATCATCACTCATGTGGTCTTAGGTTCCATAACACCTCGATGGGTTACTAATCTCTCAGAGTAGCCAATAGCATACATTTTCATGAAAAGAGCAAGTTATCTCTGAATTCACAAATTACAAGTCATATTGTTACTGGTTTGAAACTTTTGGTGTCACCAAAAGTATAATTGTACTTAGCTAGATCTCTTTGTTTCCAGGCTGATTATTGCTGATGAGTTGGATTATTTAATAACTAAAGACCGGGCTGTGCTTCATGATCTTTTTATGCTCACAACTTTCCCATTCTCTAGATGTATATTGATAGGTATGATAATTGTAAATATGTGAGTATACAATTTTTGCTGTATCTATGTGATTTTGTAGTTTAGATTTCAGAGTTTGTAACTATTAGCTACCTGTTGTAAGGGAGTTCTTGATATGTCTTTGCTTTTACAGGAATAGCTAATGCTATAGACCTAGCAGACAGATTTCTTCCAAGACTGCAGTCATTAAATTGTAAGTTCATTACTTGCTTTAGTCAATTAACTCTATTCACTATCATTTTGATTTGGTCGGTTCTAATGACAGATTCTTCTTCCAAGACCCTCTTTATGGTGCCAAGCCATGTCCTAGAATTGTTTATATCCTTTGAATAATTTCTTTCATAATTTCGTATAACCAATGTATATTTCATTTCTCTCCCAAACAACTTTACTGGTTTCCATCAACAAGGAAAATTGTTGTAGTATTTGGTTGTACCTCTCTCTCTCTCTCTTGGCGGGGGCAGGGGAAGAATTATTGATTGTAATTTAGAAGCTATGAATAGTGCTTTATAAGTTTTGAATATTCCAAAGTTCAAACCCGTTCCTTGGTATGGAATCAATTTAAGACCTGTTTGGTAATATACAAGTTACTTGTCCTCTTAACTAGGATATATCACTTTTTATTTCTTTCTGCCTCATCCCCCATTACAACTGCTAGAGGCAACTCTTAACCACTACTTGGTGCAGTGTCCATTGGTAACCCATTCTCCATCCCCCATCAAAGTATCCTATGTAAAAATGATGTAAAAGAATTAGCTGCTATATTGGTTGGTCATAACACTAACTGTTCAGTTCTGCCCCTTTCTTATGCTAGGCAAGCCTATGGTAGTAACTTTTCGGGCCTACTCCAAGGATCAGATCATCTTGATTCTTCAGCAGAGGCTAATGGTAATTTTTGTGCTCTTTCTATAAACAAGTGTCCTGTTTAGTCATGCAATAGCTTTTTGTTATTTCAGACTGGATGCTAAAAAGATCAAGTGCTAAACCCTAAGAAAAAGAAAATCACTTTGGCTGTAGCTGTTCTCTGTATGGTTTCACATTTGAATGTATATATGCATTGAAAATTTTGATTTAACATGTTTTATTCATTTCCAGTCAAGTTGGCCAGAGATCATGTTTCCCCCCTAGAAAAAGAATAAGGTTTGAAAATTAAGGTTTGAAGATACGAGAAATTACACATTTGGCAGTCAATTACAAGTTGGTAATTGAAGAAGTTGCAGCTCGATGTTTTCAGTGTTTTCACTAGGAATGCAGTGTCGTTATCATGACTTTTCATCACTGAATGCTACCACATCTTAGATTTAACAGCTTAATGTACCATAATTTTCAAGGAACCCTAGAAAAAATTTGAAAAAAGAATGAAGTAGTTCTTTTGAAATCTTTTATGTGTAAGAGAATTTATCTTTAGTCGCTCATTTATTTGTTATTGACTAAAGACTGACTGCTATTCTCTTCCAACAGGCACTTCCTTACACTGTCTTTCAACCACAAGCCTTAGAACTATGTGCCAGAGTGAGTCACCCTTCTTTTTTCTTTTTTCCCTGCTGTATTCTGGTAAATCATGCTCACTTTTCTTTACTTGACACATTGCCTTTAATTTGGTGGTGCATCCAAATTTGTAATATTACTTGAATGATAATTAGTGTATGAGCAATTATGTTCTCTTGACATTTTTTATTGATAAATAAAATAAATTTTATGTTCTCTTGACATTAAGAATTCATCCTCACCTTTATATAAATTGTAAGTCAGCAGTGGAACTGTGGCACCAAACACCATATGGAAAATTCTCTCTCATAAGTAAAGAAACTGATATTCTTTTGAAACATGGCAGAAAGTTGCGGCTGCATCTGGAGATATGAGGAAAGCTCTGTGCATCTGCAGGTTTGTCTTTTACTGCAATAGTTATGGTACTTAGTTTGTTGAATTTATTCAGGGGGTTCAAAACTAGATTGGTGCAAACTGTGCTGAGAAATAATTATTCAAAGACAATTAGATTGGTGCAAGCTGCAAACTGTGCTTAAGTAATTATTCAGGGAGATGGGCTATATGATTAAAATAGTATAAAAAAAATTAACATTCATAGAATTTTTTGAACTCAAAGATGTTAAACCTTAAAATTATACTATATATATATATATATATGGAACGGTGTAGTAAGAATATTTTTGGATGTCAAAGGCCAACATCAGCCGTCACTCTGTCGCAAGTACAAAATATCAATAAAAAAAGGATTTAATTGCAAACCTCAAAAGTATTGATGTATCAATGGATTTCATTGATAGAACTACATTATACTTTGGAATTTAAGAAAAATGCAAAAGCATTGTGAAACTATCAATGAAACGGATAAATTGAAGTCTTGAAAGTTATGTGTATATTGCTGATATTTAATTTGATGTTCATTCACATATGACCATACAACTAGATCACTCTGAATTACTTCTCTCTCTGTCTCTCTCTCTCTGTTTGCTGGAAATTAATGGAGTTTGGGAAGGGGGAGGATCTAAACTGATACAGGATATGGTAGTAAAAAATATATGAATTTCTTAATTTAATTGAGCATATAGCCCTTGATCAATCACTAAAAAGTATTTATGTAGCCAACCCCAATTCATAGGGGCACAAGGTTTGGTTTGGTTAGAAGAAACTAAAAGTAAAACCAAGATGCAGATACCATATGAAATTGGTATTTTTGCTTTGAATAAGGTATAGATTGCATTATAATTACTTCACCTTTTCAATTCAATTTCAGGAATGCAATTGAGATGCTAGAAGCAGAGCTGAGAGACTCTGCTTGCAATTTGGATTTGTCATCAGCAGGGAATGGGTACTCTGATCAACGAAAAACGCCAGTTCAGGGGCTAATAATGCAAGAAACTGATATTGTAAGAACTTGTTATTTTCATCAATTTTATCCATTTCAAGCATAAACAAGTTAAAACCAAGTATCTTCTTAATATGCATTCTGCCCTGTTATATAATAATTATCTGAACTTGTAGTGATGACCAGTTTTCTTATTAATAATCTATAAGTCACGAATATCATGAATTGAATGAAAATTTGTTCAGGTTAGTTGTGAAAACTCGAAATTAATTTAGATCTGGCTATGCAAGGCAAGCCCCAAAGGGCCATGGGCACCCAAAACAGTCCCAAGGCAGGTCAAGATAGGGCCAAAAACAAGCTTAAACCTAGCCAACACGAGCTAGAACAAAAGTCCAAAAGCATGAGGCATGCAAGGCTGCAAAAGATGTGTTATACTACATCTATCAAAACCAAACATGGCATGACTTAACCAATGAAAAATAGAGTTATGGCATGGTAAAAACAAGACCAAAACCCACTTAGATGGCATTCTAAAGACCTAAGCATGGAGGCATGCATAATGATCCATTCATGAGGCATAAAAATCAACCCCCCAATGCATGGAAAAGATGACAAATGCAAGTGTATGGCTACACTACATGGACTGAAATCTTATATGGAATGATGCCAAATCATAAGAATAGTCCTAGCAATGCATACTAATGACTTGGACACTCAAAGCCAACAAGCTAGGTTGAACCATGGCTATACAAAACAATGCAAGCATGACCAAAACAAAACCAAACAGACCTTAAGCCTGGTAAAAACAAGGCTCAAAGCTTCTTTGGGTCAAGCCAAAATCATGCTAAAAACATGGCCTAAAGCACAAAGCATGTTAAGGCAATTTCTTGGAAATGCACTACAAGTGCATGAGGCATGCAAAGGCTAACCAAACCAAACCTAAACATAGGTATGACATGGTAAGACAACACCAAATACATGCTGAAGTGGACACAACATAGGCTAGAATGACATGCTACTTCATGAAGCATACAAGACTAGTGTGTGTGATTTACACTACAAGTGTATAAACCATGCATGGAGCAATCAATCCAAGCAAAAATAGGGGTAAGCCTCAACAAAATAACTACAAATACATGCTAATATACAAGCTAAAACAAGCCTAACAAACATGCTCACACATGAGGCATTCAAGGCAAGTATTGAAGACACAAGGAAAAGGGATGACCCTCTCCTTTTTGGGACCTTAAAATACCATCCCCACCACTGAAATCCCTCAGTGGTGAGAAGGCCAAAACAAAGTGATCCCGAAGCTCACAAAGAAGGCATAAAAGCATGGTCAAACAAGGCCTAAGGGGGGGTAAACAACCCCAAACAAAAAAGTGACCTTAAACAAAGGTCTCAACCATGCAAAATCAGAACTTTTTACAGTTTAGAGTTAAGCTTAAAACAATATGCAAATAGATCTAAAAGCTTAAGAAAGAATGGGGGTTTAAAAGCAAGAAGCTCACCCTTGAAGAACACATTCAAGAACACTACTCTAGTAGCCTCCTCTGGCTAAAACCAGCTCAAGAACACTAAAAACAACCACTAAGGACCTCAGAAACCAAAGGATGGTGTTCTACTAGGTGATTGTGTGCTGTAGTAAGACAAAAAGACACTTTAGAGCACAAAACAAGGATCAACAAGGAGATATAGATACAAATGTATATCTATCTCTCAAGACTCCATTTTCTGAACCTTTGAGAAGGGATGAGGGGCTCCCTTCTTATAGAATTCCAATTCTCAAGCTTGTTGAGCAAGCTTGAGTCTTGAAACAAATCTCTCCGTGTATGGAGGATGTGAATTGTGGATACCAGCTATCACAGCTGGCAGAAAATATCCGCAAAAAGCAGATGGAAAGGTCTCGGCTCAAAAATATGGCCGATCGACCAACATAAGTGCCGACCGACCAAAAGGAGTGCCAATCGGCCAACACTTTTGGCCGATGGCAAGAACACAAGGCTGATGGCATCAAGCCTTGGCCGATGGGTTGAGGGAATGGGTAACAAGCCACCCTCTTCCCTCAGAAGCAAAACACAAGTCCTTGGTCCACAACCAAGCACAAAAACAGACAAGTTGAGAGATCCTAAGGCAAGGCGCGCAGCCGAGACCTCCGGGAACTCAAAACGAACGCGAGCATAGAAGATCATCGAGTGTTCAAACGATGACATCCAAGTCTTGAGGACGGTCAAAAATGGGGTGTCTACACATAGTGTCCTCAATTTGTACCCCAATCTCATGAAGATCAGCAAAGATGGGGAGGGGTAGGACAATCATCCTCTGCATCAGCTTCGGTTGCAGATTCCGCACGACCATCCTTATCTAGTCTTTCTCAGCTGGCCTGGTGGTCATCATAGAAGCTTTGGCTCTCCAACGGGTTACAAAGTCAGAGAAGCCCTCATTCAGCTCTTGTCTAGTTGCCTCGAGATCACGAGTCGTGACCACAATTTGGGTGTTGTATGAATATTGTGCGACGAAGGCCTCAGCCATCTCCTCCCAGCTTCTTTTCACCGAGTCCTCCAGTTTGGCGTACCAGATAGCTGCAACACCAGACAGAGTCCGACCGAAGAGAGATAGCTTTTGTAATCTGTAGAGGCCCATTGGCCGTAAGATATCCAAGAACAACCGCAGATGTACCATAGGATCTCCAGAACCGTTAAAACGGTCTGTATGTGGCATCTTGAACTGGTCCGGTAATGTCACTGCCGAATCTGTGTAACCATCCTCTATGTCTGGAATGGAGTTAACGCCTTGAGCCCTCTTGAACAGCTTTTCAAGCTTGCTAACTTTTAATGCAGTTGGATCCACTTCGAACTCGAAAGAGGCCTCAATTGGGTGGGCTTGTGCTTTGGAAGTCTGAGGTGGAGTGGGATCCACTGGGACATCTATATTCTCCTGGGCATTGGTGGTAGGGGCATGAGCCCTTGGTGCAGGAATTTCTACTGGAGGTGGATGGGACGCAGATGCTGTTCCCTGTTGTGTTTGTTGCTGTTGCTGTTGAAACCGGGCGATAAGTTTGGCCTACTGGGCCATAACCTCGGTCTGGCGGGCGGTAACCTCTGCTTGGCAGGCAGCATCTCGCTGCATGGCCTCCATAGTTTGTTGGAGCTGACGCATCATGTCCTCTATATTAACTGAAAACTGCTGATCTAACTAAACATGTGTGTATCCCCTCTCTGAGGTGGAAGCAGATATCTCAACCCAACTGCGCACAGGTGAGGTGGATAATGACCGCTGATCTGGAGACTGTTGAATTGGTGATCTGTGCCTGACTGGCCTTTTCTTGCCTTACCACTGGCAAAGAAAACATTGGTTGCCCTTGAACTGAATCTCTGACCTGACAAAGTCTATCAACACAAGTCCAATGTTCCCAAGGGATATTGGAGCCTTCTGGAGCTATAGTTCCAGGACTACCTTGCAAAAGAAGAAAACAGACAGCATCTCAGCCTGATTTCACCAAAACCAATATGAGCAAAGCTGAATGGCTGTGTTCCCTATAGAATTCTGCCCAAAATTCTGCCTGTAAACTGATACCCTCAGGCCGATACTCAGACTTGCGACTGATACATACAACCTATAGAGACGCACTCTGACAGCACATACCAAACAAGTAAGAGCCAAAACACCCCTATGGTAGGGTAGGGTTTCCCTGTCCTATTTTCTCAGGAGCTAGGGTTTCACTACGCACACATGCGGTTTCAAACAACCTACATTCGGGTAAGCAACCTGTTCTAGTTTGGAATGGTCTCTATGGCTTCCGATATGCAACTAGGTTGAATGATCAAGAAAGGTGCCTCAGTAAAATCAAGGTTTGTGTTCCCATCGTGGCAGAGCCCGTAACCGGTCAGCCTTATGGCTCACTTTTCCAAGCAAGCCTCTGGCAAACCGTTCAGGAATAGCAAATGGCAAACACCATGACTTAGGTGCATCTATGCAAATACAATGCAAAGAAACACACAAGTGTAGACAAAACAGCATATCATGAGTTTGAGTAAAGTTCTCTAAATCCCCAGCAGAGTCGCCAGAAACTGTAGACCACCCGAACTCGCTCCGTGCGCGAGGGCACGAATTGGGTTCATAGCTACTACAGTTCAGACTCCTGTCACGGTTCTGTATCTAGTCTCACAAAGTGCAATGTAAGACTGATAAATCACCTAAGAGTCCAAATCTGGAAAATCGTTTTGGTAAATCGATTTTGCTAAAAAAGTGCCAGACGTGGACTGCTTTGCCAGATTACAGAGTCGCCACCTAAATATTTTGTCTTTGGGAAATTTAGGAAACCCTGACTCGTGCCTAAGGTCAGGTGTCCGTCATCACCAAAGTTGCCTCGGCTCGAGAAGTTGGGTACAAGGGGGGAAGGTCCTGAAATGAACACTCCTGCTCGCCTGATCGAAGGATCGGCCTCTACTAAGCATGATATGTTATTTTGAAAACACATGTGTTCTTATTTCGATTATTTAGCTAACTTACTATGTGATGCGCACAACACACAAGTATAGACTTGATCACGGAAATTGGAACAAAACAACTCATGGTTGCTTTTCGAAAATGGTTTGAAAGTGCTACTTGCAAGTAGGCTAAAGTGCGGATTTGCCACCTTCAAGTAGGCTTACAAAAATATGATTTTGCCACTCCGCAAAGTGGGCTTAAAACTCACAATCGTCGAGTTTTTCCAATTCAGGCAATCAAGCCTTCATCTGCAGGCATTCAAGCAGTTAAACACTTAAGCAGATAGCCTCATGGCAAGCATGTTGTCATGGCAACACTTACACACATTCAAGGATGCTAAAGCGTAAACACTTACAGTGTACTCCGAGCCAAAACAGAAGCTAGTTAGAAATCATGCAAGATCCTAGCTATGTCAACAATGCCTAATGCAACACATGCAAAAATGCAACTAAAATAGACTCGTCTATCTAGAATGGCATATGAATACAACACTTGATAACATGCTTTGAAACACGTATTCAGGAAAGCGTATTGAAATACAATGCAGTTTGAATGATGCGCCGAGCCCGGTGCATGCAAGACGAATGAATGATGCACGCATGCAAGCATAAGGTATGCTAATCAAAATATGCCCTAATCTAACCACTGAAAGCGGGTAAATAAAAGGGAGAAAGACATGGGGTTGGAAGACATGCACACACACACGCACCCTTATTACAACATTTGCCCTCTCGACGGAG